TATTTACTCAAGGGAGGTACAGAAGAGCCTTCGATGACGTCAGCTGTCAGATCTCTTCTTGTGGCAACACCATTACCGCAACGATACGGAATTCAGACATCGGCTTCGGTGGTGTGATGGTTAGCGTGTCGGGCTGATAATCCGAAGGTGCCGGGTTCGAATACCGCTGGCAGAACTAACTTTTTGTCAACAAATTTTTCATATCAGCAAGTTTAGTTGGTTTGGTTGGGTTATGACAGTTTAATTTTATAATTAAAAAATTATAAAATTGAATTTTAGGCATTTATAATTTTATTTTATGAAGAAAACTATATTTATATTAGTAAATATTCATTCGATATTTTCATTATCAGCACGTTTGGTTAGGTTATGACAATTTAATTTAATAATTGAAAAATTTTAAGATTATTTTATAATTTTTCTTAATTGTATAATTAACTAGGCCTAATAGTGAAGTAAAAATAACGCGCTGTGCTCTCTACTACTTGTCGTTGTGTGTGGTGGAGTGAACCAGACTCAGTACCAACAACGCTGTTAACGGAGCAATTTTGACCTAAACTATGATGTCATCGTTGCCTCATTTGTACCTCCCTCAAGTCAGACCCATTTTTCCTATGTATAGGCTATGTAGGAAAGAAAAGAAATGGAAAATCTAAGAAAACTACCGATTTGTAAAGTTACTTAGCTCTTCTGACACGATAGACGAGTATTCAGAATGTTCACAATTTTTAATTCGTAAGCTGCCCAAGGTTTCTCCTTTGGTCGATTCAGAGTAAGTGAAATTCTAGACTTTGGTTGGTTATTAATAATGCTTCAGTGACCCTGACCTTCTATGGTGGCAAGAACAAGGGATTGCACTATGCTCTTTAAAAGTTACATTTCAAAGAAAATATATATTACTATACCAATGACGAGTATTTATGGTATAATTATCAAACCACTAATGGGTTGCTGAGTGGATATAAAACTAGTTTTCAAATCTGAAAGTTGTCAGTGCAATCCAAAAATGGGGTTGATTCTGGTCAAACGGATGCCATTTGTCATTTGGTTTAAAATTAATCATACCAACTAAACAAGATTCCTTGAAAAATTTCATGAGCCAAAAATTGACAGATAAAAATTTAATTTTCTTCAAGATTTGTATGCGTTAAGAAAGGTTTGTAATACATTGTATTGATAGCTAAAACAACTAAACATACTCTTGAACTGTAAATTTAGTTAACAACATCAATAGCTCTAAAAGAGTCAAAGTTTTTATGAATTTTCGACTATTCAGCAAATTTCAAGTAATAATCCATTATCATGCTTTTAAAATTTCCCAATTATTTGCTACTTTACGCCTGACATATACCTTCAACATCGCTGACAGAGATGTTATTTTCCAGCTAAGTCTGGAAGGCAACCAGCTGACTCAGATCAGCCACGTCAGATTACCCAGGAGCAACTCTGGAGTCAAGATGTTCCTCAGTGGAAACCCTTGGCACTGCGCCTGTGAAATGCTCAACTTCATCGAACATTACAACTACGCCATCAGGGACATTGAGTACATCAGGTAGACATTTTAATGAAATTTTTTAGTTTGAAAAGTATCTTCGCATTGGATAATAGTTTCGGTTTGTTTACGGAGGTTTCGGCTGATTGGGTTAGGAGGTGAAACTAGTTGGCAGTCCATCTACCATCATAAAGGTTTGCCGCTGGAACAAGTTAAACTCTGTGATGACTGTATCCTTGCATTTCACTAACATCTCTTGTGTTTAGGTGTGCCTCCCCGAGGTGGCTGGAGGGACTACGGACCGCCTACCTCACCAAGGAGATCCTCTCCTTAGACTCTGTCGACGGTGACTGCACACCCCAGACTCCTAGAGTGTCCAACTCTCACATCCTACCCTTGTACTCCACTAACATCTCTTGTGTATAGGTGTGCATCCCCGAGGTGGCTGGAGGGACTACGCACGGCCTACCTCACCAAGGAGATCCTCTCTGTTAAATATGGTATTAAGAGGTAAAATTGTGAGAAATACCTTTAGATCCTAAAACTGAAGATCCATTAGGGTTTTGGTAGAACAGGAACAAGATGAGCAGAGAAGCGATGGCTCTGGCCAGAGTGACGAAAATCGAAGGACCACAGATGAAAGATGATGTTGAGAAATGACTATTGTTGTGTAGTATGTAATTCTTCACTGATTTAAATTAAAACTCTTCTTCATTAATAAAAAGAAAGCAATTCACTACTCATGAATATTCTGGACTGTACACGAAAATTTACAACACATTTACTTTAAATAAAAATATCTTCTTGGATCCTAGCTTGACACTTGGTACTATAAATTTGGAATCCATATTTAAATGAGAAATGATGAAATAATGCACTTGGAGCGGTAAGAGAGAAAGAGAGATTAAAATATTTAATATGAACTAAACCAAAAGGTAAGCACTGTGTACTGTGAGAGAGGTGAGTCTAAACTGAACTGACTAGTACGAAGTGCTGTAGTGAACTTTGGACAGTGATGTCATCATATCAGCTGTTGTATCCTTTCAATAACTGAACTAAAAACTTGACTTGAATGTTAATACTACTTGATTAATTGTTTATATTTGACTGTATATAGTTCATATGTTATTAAATAAATATTTTATTAAATGTCCTTAGTTGAATTACTAAATATTTAACATACCGGCCCCCCCTGAACCCCTGGGTTCTGAAAACAACACAAAAAATGAGAAAATCAATAAAAAAGGGGGGTGGTAACTCCTCTTCACTATTCCATAGGAAGGACAGACACCTTTGTCACAGGACGAGAGAGGTGTCCACTTGCGGTCTTCAGGTGCACGACCCGTACTATTCCATCAGTACCAGGTGAAACGGAGAGAACTCGTCCAAGCTTCCAGGAGAGTGGAGGCAAGTTGTCTTCATGAATGACAACCAAGTCATTGACTTCAATATTCTTCTTGGGGTTGACCCATTTATTTCTCTCTTGAAGAGTGTACAGATACTCTTTCTGCCAGCGAGCCCAGATATGTTGACTGAACTGTTGGACTAACTGCCAGCGTTTTAATCGGTTGATAGGAATGCTACGCAAGTCAGGTTCAAGAGGTGTCATAAGAGGACCACCTACTAAAAAATGACCTGGCGTCAAAGCTTCTAGGTCCGAGGGATCAGAAGAAAGAGGAGTTATAGGCCTAGAGTTCATCATTCCTTCAATACGGGTGATTAAAGTCGAAAACTCTTCCAGTGACAGGGTCTGTTGTCCAATGACTCTTATTAGGTGAAATTTCACACTTTTGACGGCCCTCTCCCAAAGGCCTCCCTGATGAGGTGCATGTGGAGGTAAGAAGTGAAATTTAATATTGAAATTCTCAGCGTAGCATTGTACTGTGGAATCCTTGATTAAATTTTCAAAGTTGCGTCTGAGTTTTTCGGATGCACCTGTGAAATTTGTAGCATTGTCACAGTGAATATCTGAAACGATTCCTCGTCTGGAGACAAATCTGGTAAGAGCGGCTAAATAGGCATCCGCTGTTAGGTCGGTTACTACTTCTATGTGTACCGCCTTAGTAGAGAAGCAAATAAATATACAAATATAAACCTTGATAGGTTGAACTCGTCTTAGTAGATGTTGCTTCACAAAGAAGTGTCCTGCATAATCTACACCAGATATGGAAAATGGCCTTGAAGGTGTAACTCGATTCATAGGTAATTCCCCCATGAGTGGAGAAGAATGAGGAGGTTTACATCTGAAACATTTTATGCATTTAAAGATCCTAGATCTTATTAAGCTTCTAGCACTGAGAATCCAGTACTTGTTTGCCAGCATAGCCTGAGTTAGAGTTGGACCAGAGTGCAAATATAAGACATGATGGTGGTCAATCAAAATATCAACTAACCTATGACCTTTAGGTAGCAAGACGGGGTGTTTGTGATCTTCAGAGATATCAGCCTTGTTTATTCTTCCCCCTACTCGAATGAGGCCATCTTTATCCAGATAAGGAGCTAGGCGTCTAATGCGTACAGAGCAAGGTTTATTGGATTTCAAACATGAGATTTCTTCAGAAAAATATTCTCGTTGAACCAATTTACAAATCAGGTTATGAGCCTCTTTTATCTCCTGAGAAGTTAAATTCCCAATTTGTTTAACTTTATTTCTGGTGTTATGAATGAAGCGCAGCAGGTATGCGGAAACATGAAGTAGTGTTGTCCAAGATGAGAAGCGAGTGAGGAGAGAAAATGGTTCATCCGGAACAGCAGAGAGAGTGTTAACTGTGAGAATCTTAGTTTCAGGGATAGACTCTTCAGGTAAAGATTTACAGACAGACTTTGGCCAATTTTCTTCAGAGTTACACAACCAGACAGGTCCATTCCACCAAAGTGTGTGGTTAATCAAATCTTGTGGGGCGGTACCCCTTGACCCAACATCCGCTGGATTTTCTAGTGATGAAATATGTTGCCAAAATGAAGGTGGGATATTTTCCTGTATTTCTGCAACTCGATTTGACACATAAACCTTGAGTCGATAAGAGGGCATGCCAATCCATGAAAGCACGATTGTGGAATCGCACCAAGCTGTGTATGAACTAATCTTGCAGTGAGGTGAGAGAAGTTGTATACAGTAATTTAGGAGCTTAGACATCAGGTGTGCTCCGCAGAGCTCCAAGCGAGGTATGGAAATACGCTTCAGAGGTGCGACTCTTGACTTCGCTATCAGAAGATAAGTCGATATAATTCCTTGTGAATTTACAACTCTCAGGTAAACACAACTACAATATCCTGCTTCACTTGCATCAGAAAAAGCATGTAGCTGAATATCTTTAGCAGAAGAAAGCCCCACATAGCGAGGTATCTTGAGCATTTCAATATATGGAAGTTCATTGGCGAACTTGTTCCAAACTGATATAACGCTGTCGTCTAGGGGTTCATCCCAATCGAGACCAAGTGTCCATAAGTATTGCATGAAGGATTTGGACCAGAAGGTTACAGGAGTTAACCATCCTGACGGGTCATAGATCTGTGATATCACACTTAAAACAATTCTTTTTGTAGGAGTTTCCTTAATATTTTGAGTTCCTACAGAATAAGAAAAAACATCTTCATTAGGAATCCATTTAAGTCCTAAAACACTATGAACTGGTTGTTCGGGAGCTCGAAAACCAATAGGTTTTTCTTTGTGATCTTCAGGGATCGACTGTAAGAGTAATGGATTATTCGAAGACCATTTTCTTAACTCGAAACCTCCTTTTTTGAGTAACTGAACCACATCATTTTTCAACAAAAGAGCGTTTTCTACGCAATTACTACCCAATAGGGCGTCATCGACATAAATCTGATCCTTTAGAGCAGTTGCGGCTAGAGGATGATTTTTTCCTTCATCAATAATGAGTTGTTGAATGACACGATTTGCCAAGTAGGGCGATGATGTGAGCCCATAAGTGACAGTCGCTAGCTGATAGATTTGAAGAGGCATTTTATCATTCTCTCTCCAGAAAATAAGTTGAAATATCTGATCAGATTCCTTTACAAGGACTTGTCGAAACATCTGCTTGATGTCGCATGAAAAAACAACCGCATGTCGGCGAAAGTTGAGAATGATGTCACATATGTTGTTGTGGAGTTTTGGTCCTTGATGAAGAATACTGTTGAGAGACAGAGATGTTGATGTAGGTGCTGATGCGTTGAATACTACCCTTAATTTTCCATCTTTAAAAATTCCATGATGTGGAAGGTAGTAATGAGGATTATTTTTAAGACGTGGTGACTGACAGAGTGTCATATGTCCCGAAGACAAGTAATCTCTCATAAAATCAACATAAGTTTCCTTGAAATCAGGATTAGAACGAAATTTATTCTCCAGAGACCAGAATAGGGATTTTGCCATTTTGCTCGAGTTGCCTAATGTTGACGGATCGTCTGAGAAAGGCAAAGAGACAATATATCTTCCTTCAGGAGTGCGAGAGTGCGTAGATACAAAATGTTTTTCACATTTTTCTTCGGCTAAGGATTGCTTGCTTGTAAGAGGGGGTTCCTCTACAGCCCAAAACTGTTGGATAGAGGTGTGAAGATCCAAACTATTGGTGGTTAAGAGTGTGACTAATCCATGAAATGAATTTTTGCAAGTTGAGGCGACAGGGGTCGATCCTAAGAGCGCATATCCAAAAATGGTGTCAATTGCTACAGGCATATTCTCACCAAGTGACAAAAACTGGCCTTTCACAGAGGAGGCAAAAAGGTCAGCTCCAATTAGAACATCAATAGGAGCGGGTTTATCAAAAGTAGGATCGGCTAACATTAAATGTTGCATCTGTGAGCGAACTTCAGGAGTGATCTTAGCTCGAGGTAAATCTGGAGTGATATTATCCAAAATGAAGACAGGGTGAGAGCTTGCCAATACATATCCACTAAGGGACTGGAGAGTGACATGAGTTAACCCTTTTGTTTTCACCTGAGCAGACGAGATGCCATTAATAAGCGTTTTATTAGCATGAGAGCGCTTAATCCCTAAAGACTGAGCACATCTTTGAGTAATGAAGGTAGACTGAGCAGCAGAATCTAAAACTCCCCTACAAACTAGGGTCTTACCTTCGCTTGATTTTACCACAATTAAAGCAGTGGCAAGAAGAACTGTGTTCTCTGTATTTGTCAAACCAACAAAACCAGATTCATTTTTATTTGAGTCAGAACTTGGAGCTCGTTTGTCTGTGTTACCTTTAGACACATTAGGAGAGGGATTATTTTCAGAATCCATAAAATGCAAAAGAGAGTGATGTTTTCTTTTACACGTAGAACATGTACGCCATGAATTGCATTCCTTTACCTTATGCTTATCGCCAAGACAGTTGGTGCACAAATTTTTGCCTTTAACAAAATTATACATTTCTTGTGAAGTCAATTTAAGAAAACCTTTGCATTAATAGATTTTGTGATCTGCACCTGCGCAAAATGTACAAACAGTGCGAGGAGTTGCAATAAGCGCCGATTTATTTGAGCGCTGAGGGGGTTTTACTTGAGTGTGGTGGCCTAAGGTACCCTTAAGAGATGATCCCACATTAGTAAGATTAGCTGCTTCAAGATTTACACAGTGAGACTCAATGTACTTGGTTAACTCATCTAACTTAGGAGTTACAGAGTTATCACTTCGACTCTGTTCAAAATGATGGCGAAAATCAGAATCAAATTTTCTTAACAAGTGAGAGGTCAAAATTAAATTTTCCTGAGAAATTTCTTCATCTAGAGCTTTAAGTGCTTCAATGTTTTCATTTAAAACAGACAAAAACCTTCTAAGTTGCTTCACTGAGGGATTGTGAAGAACTGGTAAGTCTAACACATTGTTGACATGAAGAGAGATTAGTAATCTTGTATTCTGATACCTTTTAAGTAGAGATTCCCATGCAATAAAATAATTAGCATTAGTCATAGGGATGTTTTTAACAACTGAAAGTGCCTCTCCCTCAAGACAGCTTAACAAATAACTCATTTTTTCAACACCAGAAATACTATCATTTTTATGAATAGTATTTTCAAACAAATTTTTGAACGCCATCCACTTTTCATGTTGACCTGAGAAGGTACCAAGTTGAAGTTTAGGAAGCTGTACACTAACCTTAGTTGTAGCTACTTGGCTGATAGCTGCATTGGAATCATCCAGGTTTGGCTGGCTCGACTGGTTAGAGCTTGGGGAAGGTATCAAGTTCACACACAAAGAGTGAATAGACACATAGAGATCACTTATTTCATCTTGTAATGTTGAAATTGTAGTGATATTTTCACTTTCATCTAATTCCTCAGGTAAAGGCACAGTGCCGAACAACTTATTCACTAATTTGTCAAAATCATTATTTTTGGCTGTAGCGGTGGAATCCAAAAGAGTGAGCTTTGTTATAAGTTGAGGAGTGATAGGTTCCTTTTCGATAGCAAGCACTTTTGCTTCAATTGACTTAAGCCTGGCTAGCACAAGCTCAGATTGCTTCACAAAAGTTGAGAACCTCATTTTGAATAAGTCTTAAATTCAATAAAATTCCAAAATAAAAATAAATGCAGATTAAAATAAGTTTATAATGAGCAAAACTTATTTAAAGACAGCCAGGATTCATTGTATTAAATATTAATATTAGTCAACTTGAAATCAGAGAGAAATATTCAGCCATAGTATAGGCCTATAAAAAGTTTAAGTCCCAGAAAATATCTACCTGCAATTATTTCCAGATAATAAATTTGAAATTCAATAAAACATGTTATTTCAAACACAAACTGTAATTAAATGTTCAATCCGTATTAATAAACATTCTTCTGTCACTTTAATTTAAAAGTGTAAGCAAACAATTGAGGTTATGAAAACATAAACAAAGTCTTGCATAATGACATTTAAGTTTTCATTTCTATCCATCAGCAGCGCTAGTGTTGATCAGCTGTGAAGTTGGTATGACTTCCATGATTTTCTGAATATTCAGCAACAAGAGAGAAACTTGTTTCACATTACAGGGGGGAGAGAGGGGGGCAGACAGGATGCAGCCCGATAATGCACAATAGAGAATAGACAAACTATGCATGAAAATACAGGAGTTGTAGACAGTACAGTCTGAGAACAAAATTTTCTGTCTGGGACAACAAAACTTTATGTGTTATTTCACAAATTACTGCAACAATTTAATAAATTGATAATAATGTGATCAAAAATATTTAATCCTCTTGTTAATGATACTTAATGTTGATGACAGATTTATTCAATTAATTTATTCAGTTCAATTAAATACAAAACTTAATAGTCACAGTAGATTATTTTCCATAGGCTGGGAAACTTCCGGCTCGAAGGACCATGTTAAATATGGTATTAAGAGGTAAAATTGTGAGAAATACCTTTAGATCCTAAAACTGAAGATCCATTAGGGTTTTGGTAGAACAGGAACAAGATGAGCAGAGAAGCGATGGCTCTGGCCAGAGTGACGAAAATCGAAGGACCACAGATGAAAGATGATGTTGAGAAATGACTATTGTTGTGTAGTATGTAATTCTTCACTGATTTAAATTAAAACTCTTCTTCATTAATAAAAAGAAAGCAATTCACTACTCATGAATATTCTGGACTGTACACGAAAATTTACAACACATTTACTTTAAATAAAAATATCTTCTTGGATCCTAGCTTGACACTTGGTACTATAAATTTGGAATCCATATTTAAATGAGAAATGATGAAATAATGCACTTGGAGCGGTAAGAGAGAAAGAGAGATTAAAATATTTAATATGAACTAAACCAAAAGGTAAGCACTGTGTACTGTGAGAGAGGTGAGTCTAAACTGAACTGACTAGTACGAAGTGCTGTAGTGAACTTTGGACAGTGATGTCATCATATCAGCTGTTGTATCCTTTCAATAACTGAACTAAAAACTTGACTTGAATGTTAATACTACTTGATTAATTGTTTATATTTGACTGTATATAGTTCATATGTTATTAAATAAATATTTTATTAAATGTCCTTAGTTGAATTACTAAATATTTAACACTCTCCTTAGACTCTGTCGACGGTGACTGCACACCCCAGACTCCTAGAGTCTCACATCCTACCCTTGTACTCTACTAACATCTCTTGTGTATAGGTGTGCATCCCCGAGGTGGCTGGAGGGACTACGCACGGCCTACCTCACCAAGGAGATCCTCTCCTTAGACTCTGTCGACGGTGACTGCACACCCCAGACTCCTAGAGTGTCCAACTCTCACATCCTACCCTTGTACTCTACTAACATCTCTTGTGTATAGGTGTGCCTCCCCGAGATGGCTGGAGGGACTACGCACGGCCTACCTCACCAAGGAGATCCTCTCCTTAGACTCTGTCGACGGTGACTGCACACCCCAGACTCCTAGAGTGTCCAACTCTCACATCCTACCCTTGTACTCTAACATCTCTTGTGTATAGGTGTGCCTCCCCGAGGTGGCTGGAGGGACTACGCATGGCCTACCTCACCGAGGAGATCCTCTCCTTAGACTCTGTCGACGGTGACTGCACACCCCAGACTCCTAGAGTGTCCAACTCTCACATCCTTCCCTTGTACTCTACTAACATCTCTTGTGTACAGGTGTGCATCCCCGAGGTGGCTGGAGGGACTACGCACGGCCTACCTCACCAAGGAGATCCTCTCCTTAGACTCTGTCAACGGTGACTGCACACCCCAGACTCCTAGAGTGTCCAACTCTCACATCCTACCCTTGTACTCCACTAACATCTCTTGTGTACAGGTGTGCCTCCCCGAGGTGGCTGGAGGGACTACGCACGGCCTACCTCACCAAGGAGATCCTCTCCTTAGACTCTGTCGACGGTGACTGCACACCCCAGACTCCTAGAGTCTCACATCATACCCTTGTACTCCACTAACATCTCTTGTGTATAGGTGTGCCTCCCCGAGGTGGCTGGAGGGACTACGCACGGCCTACCTCACCAAGGAGATCCTCTCCTTAGACTCTGTCGACGGTGACTGCACACCCCAGTCTCCTAGAGTGTCCAACTCCAAGATGGCTCTACCCACATACTCACCTACACTCCGGGCCGACCGGCTCCAACTCCTGGCGCTCATAGTGTTCGTCATGGCCGCCCTCTTCATGCTCTTCCACGTCCTCTGGGCGCGCAAGAAGGACAAGTACAGATTCGAAGACGATCGCGAGGACATCCACTATATCAGAGTGGAGAAGAAACCCACCTTCAAATAGTTTGATCTCTTGTCGAAAACGAACAGCTGTGATTTTTTATCGTTTTACGTGTTTGATGTGTATTTTTAATTAAATGTGAATTTTGTGTTATACCGTGTTACTTTCTGTTTTACTTAAGTCTAAATTATTTTGTAAAGGTAAACGTGATATACATGTCGGTTTATAAATAATATTTGCATTTACAACTCATTTTGGAAATAAATTTGTAACTATATCCTAACTGAAAAGATTAGTTTGATGAGATTATCAATATAACCATTGTGATACGTAAGTCATGTATACCAGATTTTCACACTGAAGTGCTCTACAGTGCTTTATCAGTTCTGACATCTGAAACGTATGCAAATATTCTTCTCTAAGTTTGCTACCATTCCTTATTTCTTCACTTGTTTTCTAAAAAAAAAAACTACGAACCTTTAGTATATTTTTTATTGGATATTTTACACGTAGTATTGGACTTTAACTTTGACTTTGACTTTTATTATATGAACACATTCTTGTTTGCCATTAAAATACTGTCTATGTGCAACTTGAAAATATACCTTTGACTTAGATATTCAAAGTAACCGTTATAAAATGGAAACTCACTCATAAAATTTAAATAATAAAGCTCTCTGTAGATTGTCTTCGTTACTTTTCAAGAGAATAATATTATACTCGTATTTTTCATTGCCATTTTGACGTTGAGTTATAATTTGCCTATCTTTAAATAACCGTGGGGATTATTTAAAGAGTTGAACGAGTTATTTGACTAGAACCACCTTCCACTTTCAATACACTGCCTCTTTTAGATTTGTTGAAATTTTTTCTTGTAATATTTCATCAAGCTACTTCTTTTGCTGATTGTATGGTTTCAACCAATAACTCAGGTTTAAGCTCAGGTGAAGTTTTAATGATATTTACTAAATCGACTTATATCAGTGAAAGGAACAACAGGCCACCGATCTGTGTGTGGAACTTATCAGGTAAAGCAAGGGGTGAGACGGCACAGTACAAGAATAAGCTTTGCTGATAAATTTTATTTTTTTGTCCCACCTTCACATCCTAGACCGCTTCGTTCTAGCCTGGGACTGTTTTATAAATTATTTCAGGCTAGTCTTAGAGGGTCGTGGTATTATCACATGGATAAAATACATTGGTGATTGGTGGGATTTGAAGCCGACACTTTGGGCTCCGAAGCTCGCGTTTTACCACTAGACCAGCTTAATCCCCAATAAAAAATATTGCAAAAACAGTATGCAAACCCACTACATCACTTCCATGGATTCCCAAGTCCCCGCGTTTCTTTTTGAGGCGTTTTTTTTTGCTACTTAAATAATAACGAGAGTCAATAAATTATTATCATTCGTTACAGTTTCATCTGTGTACAATTAAGAGTTGTCTTGTGATAAGGAAGAAAATCTATAGACATAAAGAGAATACACCAGATACATTTAGTTACACGGAGACCACAACAAAAAGGACTGCTAACAGATTCAAGAAATGCGGAGTTTCAATAGCCTTCAGGACTCAGAACACCATGAGTAAAATACTGCATCCTAAACTAGAAGATTCAAATTCGATGCTTTGGGCATCTACAAAATCAATTGTAGCGATTGTGATAGCGACTCCCGTTATACTTATAGAAATGTATTGCCGGTGCTTCCGGTACCCAATAGGATATAAGTAGAAACTGAATTCGAGATTCTTTTCATTCGCCTATTGGGTCTGATGAAGATTGGAGTTTCCAATCGAAATCGATCACCACTTATCTCTTTTATGTATATTTACCGTCTTCTGAGGTAACATTATAAGCGTAAATATATGTTTTAAGCGTTATTAGACGTATCTTTTATTTAACTTCCGTAAATTTAGTTACACGTACAATGCTGATCAAGAAGTTATTTAATGAAAAGTTTATACTTTTATCGTAAATCATATTTCCTACAAGAGAAACGTTCCAGTCAATTGAAACTGAACAATACGTTAACAAAGGTACAATTTAAATGGGAAATCAATCACCATAATTGCCAATGCTGGACCACAGAGATCTATTTATTTGGACGTATCGTGAATTCCTCTCTAACAGTTAATTCCGATACAGAGTTTATGCTTTGAGAGCTGAATATACCTCTGGTCCACCCAGTTGTATAGTAAATTTTGAGTATAGGTACTCTTAGTTTCCATGTAATAAATTTGTAAAATAAAACGCTTAAATTTTGATAATAATAAAGTTTTGAAACCAAAAACTCACATCTTTTATATGGCATTATTAGATTTACTCTGAATTTGTCTATGGTGTCTAAGTTTTACCATAGTACAAACCCGAAATTCCTTGGAAGTTCTTTGTTTGGTTGGGTATTGACAACAATTTCTATAATATCAAATCAAATAATCTATTATCATGGGCATTACATTCATTGACATTGTCAGTGGAGCAGAACAAAAAAAATCAAAGGTCATTGTCTAAATAATCAGATTTAACTGAAGTATGAGTCTGTACAAATTACTTTCAAATACAGGGTTAAAAATCACAATACACTATAAACAATTAAAAAAATTGAAGAAAGCAAAAATATACTATATAAAAGTAATTAACATATTTAGATGTTAAGTTACAGACTTATCACAGGTTGTTCCAGTAACTCTTCAATACAATAAAAAAGATTTCTTAAGGATTTCTTAGTAAATAAACATGAAAGGTACTAATATCGTCCTCCTAGATAATATAACCTACATTTATTTATTCATCCATAGAAAACAATATTCTAAACTCAAACTTCATTTTTGACAACGCTCTACTAAACCTAAATGTATGGACAGTAAAAATGTTCCTATCCTGAAAAAGACAACATAACGATATTTAATTATTAATAAAACGATTTCTTGCTAGAAAATACACCATAGGAAAATTTAATGTAATCGTAACTGAAAAACAATTCAAGAGCATTGAAAATTTGAGGTTAGCTTAACTTAAAAAAATTATTTAATGTAATCAGTAAATGCAGCAACATTGTATTATAAATTTGTAACACCTCATAAAAACTATAAATTAAGAACATTATTTGCTATGAAAATCCACAGAAAAATCCCAAAATCATTTCATAGTTTAAAAAATTAAAATAAACTGAAAAATATGTTTGAAAGAAATTTCTTACTCAAACTTACAAAAGAAAAACAAAATACATTAAAAACACAAGCAAGCTGTTTACGTAAAAGAAATTGTATTTTGTATTGATTTCGAACGACTTAGTTATACAGGGGACTAAAAAGTCAAGAACCCCCCCCCCCCCTTTAATATTTTTCCAACTAAATATACAGACATGTCCTTTTGGTGGTCGTGCAATCTTAGCTGGAAGTTTTATTTTAAGATTTTGACATCTTTGAGTGTCCACCCAAAAGGGGGGATTTGGGGGGCAACTCACATATTTTAAATGTAAACCCCCTGCAAGTGTCACCTCATTTTGAAGGGTTTACGAAAACTTAAAGAATGATGAAAACTAGAGGTCGCTATCTCTTCTCTATTAAAAATGGTAGCCCATCAAATTTTGTGGAAAATCAATGGCAAAATTGGGTCGTAATGGTAATATTGGTTACCATTTTGGATAGAGACACTAAAAAATTTCAAAATCATAAAATGAAACTTCCTGCTAAGATTGCACGACCAACAAAAGGATATCTCTGTATATCTACTTGGAAAAATATTAGATGGGGGGTCTTGACTTTTTATCCACCCTGTATGAGAATGAAAGGACAAACTAATATAATTGTTCAAAAGACAATCTGGTTTATCGTCCTTTACAAAGAATCATGATTGACGTTGATCATTTTTGTGCAGTTAGTTCTCACCCTAAAAATCGCGAATATCATACTATGACACTGTAAAATATCCTATGTATATTAAACACAGAGTAATTTGTCAATGTTTGAACAGAGAAGAAATGTTACATGATTAGTTGTTTGGGCACTAAATGAGTGTTCAGTAAATAAATAATTTATTATTAAATGGTATAAATTAACTTAATTCCGTTTGTGATCCTAAATTTTTGTAATGAGCAGCTACTGGTTTCGAGATTATAACTTCATCTTCAGGCTCTTGACTTGATTTAACTCTTGCAAGGTCGTCGATTATAAAATAGAACATATCAAGACAAGACACGTTTGAATAAATGTGTATTGTAATCAGGGCAGCTGGTGGAGGTCGAAGCGTCGAAGCATAACGTGTTTTGAAACAGGTATTTCAAAAACATATATAAATATATAGACTAAGTTCAGCATTGATTTACAACAACGCGTGAAAAATTGTTGATGTTAGTGTTGTTTAAACATTTTTTTTATCCTTATAATATAGAGTAAAGTAAAACGAGATATTTGTTCTAAATGAACGCCAAACAAGACTTTCGATCGCACAAAAGCCCAAGAGAAACAATATAATAATGAAAAAGTAAATTGGCTCGGTATACGAGACATTGTTTGTGTCCTGGGACGTTTTTCTACTTTAATTATGATTCGACATTTTGTATGAAAGAACAAACTAATATCTCTGCGTCGAACATAATCTGGTTTGTCGTCCGTCACAGGCCGACAAGATTGGCCACTTTGATCACTTTGTGAAGTTTGTTTTCTGTTTAAAACAAAATTGTAAACACAATTCTAGTAGTGGCAATATGATGGTCCTATGACACTTTAGGCACGTTT